TTCTGACTGGCTCTTTTTTATGGTTTCCGTGTCCTTTTTATGTTGTTGAAGTTTGCACTAAGTTCTTTTAACATTGGTTCACTTGTCTTGTTCATAGCACCAGCAGCCTTCAAACTCTCATTTATGGCACAGAAATTTAATTGTATGACAGGAGATATTTGTAATAACTACAAAGCATTCAGAAATGTAGTACCATTTCTAACTAAATCTGATTGGAAAGCAATGGACAGACCTGAGGCAATGCTGAAAATATCTCTGCTTTGCTTGGAGTGAATCTTTGAGCCTGGAAGGTTAGAAAGTACCTAATTAAACATAACAACTTTCACCCTTGGTAAACTAAGTCCCCTAAAATTTAAGCAAATATTTCTAAAATTATGTTATTTGTCAGCAACTAAATCAGAACTATAACTCCATTTCATTCCTTCTAGCCCAGTACTTGTAATTTCAAATATTAAAATAAAATATAGTCAAATGTAGTGTGTAATTATTAATGACAAAGATCAATAATTGTTAAATTCACTTCCAGTCAAGTTCAACAAAGTATATTTTCCTAATTTATACTCATAAGTACATACACTATTCCAAACCACTTCTCAGAAACTGTAATATCTGAACACCCATCTTAAGTTTTCCTAAACCAAGAAACTTAAGCACACCAGCTACTGATTCTATCCTTGTGACCTACTGCATAGATTTTCTTTGGCAGCCCAATGAAAACCTCACATGTTGAAATCATTTATTTTTTGAACCTAATATCCCTCCACAAATTCTTCCATTTGATTAATTTATTTTCTATTTATCTCAAGACATTCTACAGAACAGGAAAATTTCTCATTTTTTCAATTATAAAAATTAATTAGATGAAGGAACTTGAGAAGGGAAGAGTTTGCAGAGAGAAACAGAGAATAACTTGTATGAATTTTTATGTTATATGAGGATCAAGTAATTTAAAGATAGAAGCCTAGGAATTTTATCTGTAGTGTAGTTACCATCTATGTAAGAACATAGTATTCTCCATTTAAGAACAGGTCCACAAGCTATTTCTCAATCCATGTGTTTGAAATCGTGAAGTAAGTAAGCCTCTACAAGCAGCCCCTGAAGCCATAGGGTGGTGGGCATTAACAAAGTTCAGGTCCTTTTTGCTGGGCTGTATAGCATTTTTCATACCTCTAAAGTCTGCAGGTTAAAATTTTATAAGAGAGCTTTTTTTCTGAGTGCAAACAAGAGACAGCACAGAGGCTGCTTAGGTTGAAATCAAGGCAAGTTTAACCAGGATCAAATGTAGGCACTGGATTTCCCTCTGTCCCTGACTTTTAAAAGCATTTTTCCACCCCAGAAGAAATTGGCAATGCTCTGCTCAGGAGTTGCTGCTTTATATTTTTTCTTCATTGTATCCATTCTAAAAAAAGAAGGGAAAGGAAATCCCCCACAAACTGCATCACCCATTTATCTCTCAACACCACTGATCCTCAGGTAGGAATGGACTAGGGAGAGAGGCCTTGTTGAAACCACAATCAGAACCTATCTCTCTTGGAGAACCAAACAACTAACTATGGAATGGAATGAACTGACAGTTCTCAAAACAGAGAAGTTGGGTTATAAACATATGATAAAGTTAATGGGAAACTCACTGAAGAGAAGTAAACAGTGTCCCAGTATGCACTGATAGATACAATGTGCCCCCTGAGGCATTTTCCACTTAGCTTTGCCTTTTTGTACCTTGGGTGCTAGGCATCAGTTAAGTGCCATTTTTATCTGATTACCTATGGTAGGAGGTCTGTTTCACTGTTTATACTCCTATCAACCACAAACTTGCCAGTGTGTTTTGTGAGAAACCAAGACTGTAAATCTGTTACCTCGCTGAGCCAGGATATATTTAAGGAGCTTTAAAAATCTGTGTTTGCATGTGAAGGTACATACTCTACATAGAGAACATCACCTTAGCAACTATCGTGTAATGTGATCCTAGAAAAGAACAAATGATGACTATTTACTCTCCTTCATCCCACTCACATTTTTGAAAGTCGAAGTAGAAAGCACTTATAAAAACAGCATGGCGACACCAAGTAAGTGGCCTAGTGGTGGTGACAACATTCGACCATTGCTCAAATTTAAGGAAGACCTCAAAGTGTTTTAACACGTTTCCTCTACACAGGAGAACTTTAAACTTTATAAGGCCCATAACAATTATCTTATCTAATTTATCTTTTCGACTATATTCATAGGAAACATTATGGTGATGTGGGGTTCAGTGGTCATATCAAATCTAAAAATGCAAGATCTGTTTCACAGAGCACATTCGAGGAGTGAAGCCAGGAGAATGCACTGCATGGGAGGCCTGTTCAGACGTCCAAGTTCTGGATAATATTGACAAGGCTCATAAATTTGGAGGGGAAAACCAGAATATTCCTTGAAAACTAAGTAAATTATTTCCAAAGTTCTCTTCAGTGATAATTGGAAACAATATTAGTAGAAACTACAAACTAATAGCAAGAATTAATCAACAAAAGGAATAAGAAATTCAGCCAGAGTAAGCAAACTAATATGATTTGAAATTCAGACAACCCCAACTTGAGAAGGAATATCTCCCTGCCCAATGTCCAGCTTTGATTTACACATCGTGAGGTCTTCAGCTGGAAAAGAATAAGGGCACAGCAAAAAGACGAAATTGCCACAAGAATGTTGGAAGGTACAGTCAGCTGGGGTCTTCTGAATCAGTCATGGCCAAGTTGGAGTCCTAGAGAACCCAAAAACACACAAGTTCTGACCAGCTCTCAGCCTGTGAATCCTTTCAGCACCTTGCTGATGCTTCCTGAGGAACCAATGCAATTGTGTTGTATGGGGATTTGCCAGATGAACAGCTTCCAGGTTAAGATCATGTAGACTGTGCAGAAGTTGCCCAGTTTCCCGGAGTTTTTATTTAGTATTTCAAATAGCCCAGAAAGACCTTTCAGTTTCCACAGTCTCTGGTAGAACTGTGCTCTTTCTAATCTATTAAGAGTGAAAAGGCCCAAGGGCATCCAGAATTCTCTGGAAAAGTTCAAAAGGGTAGAAATAAGGGTAATCCAGTGAATTGCTAATGCTTTAGCTAAATAGGTTTGAGGTGAAAATAAGTGTCTACATGAAAAATACTGGTAGTTCCGGCACTGAGTGTATTTTCAGTGATTTCAGAGCAAACAATTCATTGCTGGGAAAATTACAGATATCATTATCTTCTTTTTCCCATGAAGAGATTTAAAGCCATGAAAAAATAGGCAAATTCCCTTTTCCTTAGGACACACTTATCCATGCTTCTTACACAGGGGGAGCAGCTATGCTCCAAAAGCCCCCCTGCCCTGGTCCCCCACATATAACAAGCTATGGTATAGGATTTCCATGGGGGTCGAGAGGAAATACTTAGTGATGAGCCTCATGTTCCAGTGGACAGTTTTAAAAGAGATTTCCTTACCTTTCAATTCCAGTCAAAAATTTTACAGTTATGTTGGGAACCACTCTGCCTGGTTTCAGGAGTTGTAACTGCCCCCCCATGACTAAGGCTGAGTACGTGACCTCTGGAATTTGAGCCACTAAGGAGACAAAGCTTATCCCCTGCTCCCAGTGCTTTGTCAGTTAATCTATGACAGGTACAACCCCGCAGAGGGGGGCAACCAAAGCCAGACACAATCACTTGGGAGGCCATGATGGAAGGACTCGGAGCGGGGACTGCAACAAAGAGGGAGTGATGGACCCTGGCCCCCCAGCTATTCTGACATAGCCCAAGTCCCCATTTCCATCTGGGAGGAGCGCTTCCTGGCTCTAATCCACTTAAGCCTAAAAACTTATGATGGGGAAGGTGGTGCAGACCTTTGCCAGCTAGAGCACAAACTGAGGTGATCAGGCCTAAGAAGGAATATGTAAAATCCTGTGCAACCTGCTTTGTTTAGAATGCTCTCATTTAAATGATAAGGGTTGAAGCAAGAAGTTTGTTCCTCAAAGTTTTATGGCTCTTTAGCTATCTGACCCTGACTGAGAATAAGCCCTCATAGTTCTTTGAATGCTATGTATTGATTGATCCTTACCTGTATTCCTGTGCAAATGAACCCAATAAAAGCCCCTTGAGGAAGGGGCTCTCGGCCCTTCTCCTTTGAGAAATGGGCCACCTTTCCTCCCCAAGCAGATTATGTCTTGGTAGTTTCACTTTCATCCGAGGCGGATGGGGGGACTTTGTGGGCAAAGTTGCCCCCACAGAGTTGCATATGACAGTAAGAATGTTAAATATATGAATATTGGCTATTAGAAAAGCCATCATATCTGCTGCCCCCTTGCTCCCTGTTCCTCTTTAGCCCCTTATTCTGTTTAATATTCATACAGCACTGTTTATCATTTGATGTATGAGATGCTTTTACATCTGCTTTTTGTCACAGCAAAAACCTTGTTTTATTCACATTGAATAAAATATCCTACAATCTAGGTTATACAAGATATGTATTAGATACTCAGTATACTGCCTCTGAATAAATGAATATATTAAATTTATATTCTCATTCCTATTTCATAAGAAGAAGAAACAAAATTAAACTTGAGGTTCACAGAGGTTAAATAACCTTCTCAAGGATATACAGGGATGTGGCAGAACCACTCGCTTCTCCTCAACTGTGGCAACTTTAGCTACTGGTAGGGAAAAAGCCCTTTCAGCATAATTAATGTTGTATTAGAGAGAATCCATAGTTTAGATCTCTACTATTCACTACCTATTGTATGTCCATTGAGTATTTCCAAGCCCATATAATGCGTGCTATAAAAGAGGGATGCCTCGACAAGGATGATTTTCAAGAAAATTCTAGAACAGGTTTTTAAACCCTATTTCATGTGCACTTTGAAGTGAATGCTGATCTTTGGATGTCACCACAGGTTAAACATCAAGTGGTGATGGGTTCACTATGTGCTCAATGGGGATAACAATGATGATAATGACAATGAACACTTGGACATCACTGACTATGGAACCAATACCATTTCAGGCATCCACACCTGTCGCTTAGTCATGGTATCTGCACAGAAACCCTACAAGGTGTTCCCTTTGCTGATAAGGGAACTAAGGCACAGAGAAGGTAAGTAACTTGCTCAAGGACCTACAGCTAACTGTATGCAGTTGGGCCAAGATTCAAACCCAGGCAAGCTAATTTGAAAGTGTGTGCTTAAGCACTGTATTCTCCTGCCTCATTAAAAATGGCAAAGTTATCTTAATTCAGCAAATAATTCAGCAAGTCTTGGCCTACACGCAACATAATTGTGAGTTGATTAAAGCAATTAGCAGGAATAACATTTTGTTTAACAACTATACCAAGGAATTCTGATGAATAAAACAGCGTCACCCTAGAGGAAGATTCCCAAACACATCCCAGTAGGTTCCTGTCTGTTCAATATTCACATCACTGGAATGAACACACCACGGGCATGCTTATTCAGTGTGCTAATGACACCAAGTTGAGGGACTCTGCAAAGGGGAGGGATGATACAACTTTAAAAAAATTTAAGCATCACACCCATTGGAAGGAGGGTGGCAGAGCATTCAGACAACAACGCGACCATTCTCGAATTTTCCACCAGCATCACTGATCTTCCCTTGTTCTTTCCTTGAGCCCTGCTTCCTTCCCTCTGTTTTAGGCTACAGTCTGAGTCATGGCCTATTGACAATTTGGCACTTGCAACAGGGTTGCTATAACTCAGGATTACTGATGATGGTGGCCTTTGCATTCCCTGTTTCCTCCAAATGCAGAACAATACAATCGGCCTACTACCTAGGTGTAGAAAAATGAAACAGCTCAGGCAAAATATCTAATTCCCCACCTTCTCGCGAGACTTTGAAATCACTCTATCACAGTTTTTTGATATGCAGCGTTCCACTCCCACATCATCCTGTGAACACATTAATAATTAATGTTTGGTCGATTTAAATGCAGAGAGTTGCAATGTGCACATTCGAATTCTTGGTAGTTTCCATTTAAAAATAAAAGACAACTCACCAGGCTTTGCTTTTCCTGTAAACATTGCTTAGTGCAAAACACTTGAGTCCGGTGTTTTCGATGTCTCTGACTTCCAAATGTTCCTGCCTGATAGAGGGTTGGGGGGGGGGGGGGCTTATTGGCTAAAGTTATATAACATCTGATTGAGGACAAAACCTTGTTATTGAAAGCGGACCTGCACTTTTCCTGCAGACAGGTGGAAGGGAAGCCTTCCTGGCTCTGGCTCCCTGTAGGCGCTCCCTGCTGGAGTCATGCCTGCTCCGCCCACCATCAGGGCTTCAGCATCCACAGCTGGAAGTCGGAGGCTGCGTAAGTGCAAAATAAATGAATGAGAGGCAGCAGTTAATAATTCCTTGAAATACTGCTATTTCCTGAATAGCGGGCAGTATCTATAGTAGTGCTCTTTCTCCCACCATATCTGCCTGTCCACCTGACTGAGTCCTGCGCCATTAGGAAAGTCACACCTGCAAGTCCCTTTGCGGACTGCAGAGAAATTTGCTGGAATTGGTTGGTCACTGGGTTTGACGTTGACTTGAGGGGGCAGGCATCTGAGTTACCTTTAACAAACAGCATCATTTATTAATGCTTCTCTGTACCTAAAGCAGTTCGTTTGTTCCCAAATATAACATTTGGGAACAAAACAATTGAACTCATTTCTGAAGAAAAAGAAAAGAGACCACTGGAAAATGTTTCCCCTGGGACAGACATGCTGATGAAAAGTTGCTTGGCACACATCCAGATTTCTCCCTCTTGCTGAATTTTTCATCTTGTTTCTCTTGGATAAGCCTCCATTTCTCTGGGTTTGACCACTGACACATGTGCAGGAGTTACTCTATTCTGAAACTAGATTTGTTTGAGAGGGGAAGACGCTGCACCTGGAAAAACTGGCTAGGGAAACAGCATTATTGTTTTATTAACTCCCTAAGCATCGTTTTAATACTTTACAGCTTTCTTGAGAAAAAATTGTGTTAATAATAAAACACCAGTAAGCAGTTATAGTTCACAGACTTTTCCTTGCTTTGTTGAAAGGCATTATTACCTTCTAATGGATGCCAAATAGCAATGCTGTGCATTCAAATAAGGAAGGGGAGTTATGTGTTTTAGAACTACCTAAATCACTCCGGTAATTTGCAGTGCCAAAGAGGGAGTAAATGTCCTCGTGTTAAATCCAAAAGAAATACTGGGACAATATCTGCCATAGCAACAGCCGTTTTAGAAGTTTCAATATGATTAATAAGTGTCTGTTTCATCTTTTCCCTTGTTTAAAATCAGACCATCGCCTGCTCAATCCGCAGGTCAAAATAGTACAAAGACTTTCACCAAAGAAAAATGTGATTACTATGAATTTTGTTTTATTTTTCTGATGAGTTCAATTATTTGCCGTATGGTCCATCTGCTTTTAATTACTAGTTAATCATGATTAACTGAAGAAGCTGATTGTTTCAGAGATTCAGAACATATTAGTATATCAAGATGCTGTATCTTCATTAATATTTACATCAACTAATTGACCAGAATATATTTCAGTGTAGTAATAGCCACTAGAATTTACTGTCAGTTTTCAGTGCTATCAAGTCATTTGACTTTTGAGTCAAAGCACATTTCACAGCTTGGCCTCTGTGGGCAGCATACTCTGAAATGGCGTGCTTCCTTGGGAGTGCTCTTGGAATCAACACCTGTGTGGGGGGGGGGGGGCGTAGACACCTTCCATAAATGTCAGTGAATGCAAATGCCAGCTATATTCATTATCAGTTCAGAGTCTGCCTTTGATTAAAGCGTATATGCTTACAGTACAATTTGGATACAAATACATTTTCTCCTTTTGTGAATATTTATAGACAGCATTATTTAACAATTATTTGTACCTTTATTTAATAGCAATAAAATGTGAAGAACACAAAGAGTGAATATATAGATTTTTTTTTCTATAAGGAAGTATTTCGTAGAAGATAAATACAAAACAGTCAGATAAAAAGGTGGACAAAGGATCTGAATAGATGTTTTTCCAACAACGCATACAAACAGCCAACAGGTACATGAAAAGATGCCCAATATCAGTAATCAAGGGAACCCTTGTAAGCATTATTGATGGGATTACAAATTGGTGTGGCCACTACAGAAAACACTCTGGAGATTTTTCAAAAATTTTTAAGTAGAACCACCAGAGGACCCAGCAATTCCACTTCTAGGTGGAAGAAAACAAAAACTAATTAGAAAAAATATATGTACCCCTATCCTGTGTTTCTTACTGCATAATTTATGGTAGCAAAGATATGGAAACTACTGAGTACCCACTGATGGATTAATTTGATAAAGAAAATTTGGTATACTTATACAATGGAATATTATTCAACCATACAAAAGAAAAAACTTGCCATTCGTGACAACGTGGACAGCCCTTTAGGGCATTGTGCTAAGTGAAATAAGTCAGACAAAGAAAGACAAATACTGTATGATCTCACTTATATGTGGAATAAAAAAGAACTCATAGATTCAAACAACAGATAGGTGGTTTCCAGAGGTGCAAATGGGGTGAGAGGGGGCAAAATGTATAAAGGTGGTCAAAGGTGCAAATTTTCAGTTATAAAATAAATAAGTCAGGGGATATAATGTATAGCATGTTGCCCAGAGTTAATAATACTGTGTTGCATATTCAAAAGTTGCTGAAAGAATAAAATTGTAAATTTTTCATCACAAGAAAAAAATTTGTAACTATGTATGGTGACAATAGACTTATTGTGGTGATTATTTTGCAATATATGCCAATATTGAATCATTATATTGTACACCTAAAACTAATATGTTATATGTCAATTATATCTCAATAAAAAAAAACTAAGCATAATATTTTTTCATTACACACTTGAGTCATATTTATGTGACATAATTAAGAATGTATATATATATATATATCAAAAACTCAGTTACATGTAATTGATGTATACATTGCATTGCAATATAAACAAGACATGAAGAAAATGTGGGACTCTCTTCTATAAGATTAGGAAGCCAGAATAGAGTCTGCATTTGTTCTGCCCACTACTGAATCCCTGAGCCTTAACAAAGATCTGGCCCTCAGGAAAAAGTTGGTGAATGTTGAAAGGATTATAAATGTCAGGGGTTTTTTTGCTTTTTGTTTTTTGTTTTTTTAAATGAATTGGTTTCCCTTTCCAAACATGAAGGAAACTGTGTATTGGTCATTTTCAAGTTTAGGTAAAAAGTTTAAAATAAACCTGGATGGATGGCTCAGTTGGTTGGAGCATTTATATGTCCTGTTCACCAAAAGGTTATGGGTTCATCCCCAGTCAGGGCACATACCTAGGTCATGGGTTTGATCCCCAGTTGGGTGCATAAGGGAGGCACCCAATCAATGTTTCTCTCTCTCTCTCCCTCTGTCCTCCACCCTTACTCATCCCTTCATTTTCTCTCTCTCTAAAAATCAGTAAACATATCCTTGAATGAAGATTTTTTTTAAGTTGAAAACAAACTATCTTAAATGGTAAATTTGAACTTACATATTCAGGTTGACGTAGTCTTTTTTTCTGAATTATTTTACAGGCTGGGGCAGATGGCCCTTTCTCTTAAAAATAAAAGATTTCTATTTGCATTGTAAGAATATCACAGTAAAGTCTAGTTTTAATTTTAATACCATGTTCCTAGGGAATATTATCAGAGAAAAAGTTTTGGAGAGATAAGTACTAAATTTTTGTCAGCAAGTTTAAGAAAAAAAACATCTAGAATTCTCACATATTTGCTCTATACCTGTTCACTCCCAAATTTCCCAGAATGTTCTTTAAAGCCAAATGAATCTCTCCAAAAATAAATACAAAAAACTTAAAGAAAAAATATAGAATGTATATACAAACAGCATTGCCAAAAGCCAGCCATGTTATTACAAAGCACCAAGATAAACACAGAACAAATGTGACCCTAAAAAGTTACAAATGAGTATGTTTTGCAGATTTTGAAGTACCAAAATGTAACCACCTCAGGTCTTTAGTACTATAGTTACTAAAATTTTCTCTAGAAATAGAACCATAGCCACTCTATATTTATGTTCTATTAGTGGCTGAGTTTTGGAAGTCACGCCAAGAGGATTCCAGAAATGAGAAAAAAAAGATTTTGTGTGAATCATCTGTTTTGATCCTCCATAAATCTACATCATTACCAAAATATGACCAAAATTGCTATATAAATACCCAAGAATTGAAACAGAAGAGAGGAACAGGGTATTATGTCAGAATTCAATTAGTTCTAATATGGTAGGAAAGCCGCATCCATCAAGGAGTCTATGAAAAGTTTTGTTGTTGTTGTTGTTTTGCGTGGTTGACCTTTTAGTGATGTGCTGACCTGAGCAAAGCGCAGGTTCAGGAAAAGACCCACGGCACAGGTCTGTGAGCCCATCAGTGTGGCAGTGGTGTGCGCTTCCCTTCCCCTGGCCTCTATGTTTCGAGGATTAATTTAAAATTGTCAGTACTTTCAAAATATATGTAAGCAAAAATAGCTTTAATTTCAGTTACAATTCTTAAAAGAATAACTTTCCATTAATTTATATGATATTGGCCTACTTTTACTCTAGGAATTCTTCAGCCAAATTATATATTCATTACTGGAGTTCTGAAAACAAATATATCATTTCCCTGAGTTTAAAAGTGGCTAAAAATCACTTGGAAAAAGACATAGTTTGACTTTTTAAAAAATATTTTATGTTTAATTTTATTACTTTCAAACATTTTACTGAAACAGAAACAATCTTTTTAAAAAAAACTACTCTAGATAATTAGGTAGTGATTGTTTGTCATTTCCTGTTATAATTAACTGTTGTATCATGAACTGTTACCCAGGACTTAAGTCATCTGCTAAAAACCTAATAATACAAACACACATACCCCTACACAGCACTGGCACCTGTTAAGGGCCTAGTAGATGTTCCATCAACTGTAGTGGCAATTTCTTCTGGTAGCACAGATTAAAAGCCACAGACAGGGGCCTAAGTGAGGAAGGAGGTTATCTCTTTAACTGTTCATCGAACAGGTGTCACTCTGAAACAACTTTCTGAAGGACAAGCATTTCAACACATTTCACTACCTCAATTCAAAGACTAGAACAATGGTAGTGAAAATATAGAATCATATATAAAAGATGGTTTTGCAATGGAACATAATAAGATTAAAAATCCCAGTCAAGATGAAGACTGATGAGAGTTCTATATGCATGTGTAAATTCTGCCATAACCTTCATTTCAGAGATGGTAAAATCAAAGCTCAAAAAAGTTAAGTAAATTGCCCTGAGCCCACTGCTT